GCAATCAGATTCCTCTGGCAAAATTTCGTCTCCATAAATACACGCTGCCTGCTGCTTCCTACCCATCTATGCACTAATATTTTGTAAGTCACAGTAGAGTCTAGGCACAAGACACAGCAGATTTTGAGCTTCTGCATAGAGCTGCTTAGTTCGTTCTTTACACCACACTCAGGAGATTGGCTGTAGATTGATACATTTAGGGTGTGTGGCCACCTCTTCTGGGGAAAGGCTAGTGCAAACAGAGGGTGTGATTCTCTTCTCCCTTTCACCGGGTTTTACATCAGTAGAAACCAGGGCCGGCTCTACGTGTTTTGCTGCCCCAAGCAGCAAAAAAGAAAAAACAAAACCCTGCCGAATTGCCGCTGACAGCGAGACCCGAGCCAGAAGAGTTGCCACCGAATTGCCGCTGCAGGAAACAGCAGAGAGGGGCTGCCGGAGTGCCGCCCCAAGAACAGCCGGACTGCCGCCCCTTCAGCAGCACCGCCCCAGGCACCAGCTTGCTTAGCTGGTGCCTAGAGCCGGCCCTGGTAGAAACTCCACTGACTTCAATGGCCTTACTCCACATTTACACCAGTCTAAGTGAGAGAAGAATTAGGCCCAGAAGTTGCCCTAATGGAGTCTAGCCATGAGTTCACCAGAATCTCCTCTGGCACAGCTCTACAGCCAGACACCCTTCCCTGAGACTGCATTGCCTCCAAAGGGCAGCGGGTTTAGTTCTGGTACTCTCAGTTGCCCCACACCCAATGAAGGTGCTATTGTAGGGGTAGTGCAAACAGACCCTCGCACACTACGGTTTTGATGGTGTGGGCCTGAACCATGAATCAGAATCTGATACTGAATATAGAACCATTTTTCTTCATCAAGAAGTTTGTTTCCCTGTACAAGTTTTTCCACAATTTTACCAGGGATATAAATTGGACTTATTGTACACGGTAAATTCCAGAATTTCTCTTCTTCCCCTTCTCTCTTGAACCATTGCTAACATCTCTTCTGATTCCCCTAGCCCATTAGGCCACTATTAACTTGTCCTGCTTCCTCCTGCTCCTACATCTGCTTGCAATGCTTCCTGACTAGCTAATGTGGTTGGCTGCCTTCCCCTCTGTACTTGTATTTTGAGCAGCACTTTGGAAAGACACAGCAGCAGGTTTCCATTTCTTGGGGGTTTTTCCGCAGAGGAATCATAGTATGTTGTGCTTTAATTACATTGTCTTTTCAGATCCCCAGGTTTTTTCTACACTGGTGGATATTAATCCTTCCTCTCATTGCACCTTACTCACTAGATTTCTTTAGTCCTCAACGTGACTTTTCCTCTACTTGTAGATTTTTACTTTCTAGACCATGAAATTGTCTTTTGTATAATTTTGGAGCATTTTTGACCATACGCATTTGGCCTTTTTACTTCTCATAATCTCTAGATAGTCACTCTCCTAAAAATACATAGTATTCTGCAACATATCTTCTCTTACTTAGTTATCTCAGCTATTTTGGGGGTAACAATTCCAAGATTATCAGAACTCCCATAATTTCAAACATGATCAATGACACTGTAATTTCTGTATAATTAAGAAACATATTCTTCTTTACTTATATTGACTTACATAATAATATCACTGCTCTTAGGGATTTGAAATAATTTTTATTTACACATTGGCCCCTACCAAGACTGAATAACAACAACTTTTAAATAGATGATAAATGTTGCAGTGTTTGAGGAAGCAGGGACTCTCAGGTTTCAGTAAACTGCATTAAATGATTACATCAAGATCATAACTTGACTATGGTCAGGCAGCAGGTGTGCTGAGACTGCTGCTTTTCATGCTCATCTGGTTGGTGTCTTTGTTTCCTTGTGTTCCTCCTGTTTGTGTGTGGTATCCCCCAGATTTTTCTCACCTTATACATCAAATGTGAGTGCTCTTTCCTACATGTTTGTACAGCACCTAGCACAATGGGGCTGGGCCCTCCAGGCACTAAAATAATACAAGTAAACAATAATGGATGAAGCTAGATTTAGTTTCTCATGCCGAGGACCCAAACTATGTCTGTCCCCATGTTTCTCGCTAGGTTACTTCCTCTGGTCTCTCCACTTCCTGTTACACACCTGCAGTATCCACAAGGTGGCGCTATGCCACAAATGTAAATTAGGTAACTCCAAGTAACTAAATAGGTAGCAAAAATACTAGCCCCATGGTAATTTGTTTACCATGTGACACTTAGTACATGATAATTTATTATATACACAACGGCGATTTACGATAGCTATATAAACTAGCAGGGACAAGCTCACAATAATTTATTTTGTTCAAGTAAATCAAGTGAAGGTTTTTACTAGATTCTCCAGTTAGGGCCCTATCCTGCTGCTTGTGAAGTCAATGACAAAACTTGCACTTTCCATACCTGGGGTGATCTTAGTCTATGACAACAGAAATGATTGTGTTTCACCGCTGTATTTAGTGTCGTTTTGCATGTAAGGAGCATGTAAACATAGCATTTGCTTACCCTTGATTCTTCAACAGAATTTTGAGCTTTCTGGAGCAGATCTGAGAGGCTCACATGCTAAAAGGCTCCCTGCAGCCATCTTCTTTGCTGCTCATTAGCCTTGGAAGGGGAGCAGTTCCGGTGCCATGACAGAGCAAGCAAATGGAGCAGCATCTCTTGCCATGCACTTTCAGCGCTATGCTGTGGCTACACAGCTTCCACATCAAACATTTGCAGTGGGGCACATTGCTTATTCCCTATGTGCACCCGCTAACTCCTCCCTCCAGAGGCAACGATGCATCAGAGCATTATGCATTCTTGTGCAGAATGGGACAAGCTAGTCTTAGGTGTTTGGCCAGATGCACATTATCTTCTCTCACTGTAATATAAATCCTCTGACGGGGAATGATTTGAAGGGGAGTAAGACTCTTCAGCACTGTGTACCATTTATTTGCATATTATCATCTGAACCAGGAAGATCTGGAGCAAATTTCAGGAGCATAATTGATTCCACACCTTGATGAAATAAATTCCACTTCTGTGTCACCTTGGATGCATAGTCATGGGAACTAGGCACATAGGGAACGCCATGTGATTTTAAACATTGTTCAGTTAACTCAGAGATCCAAATGCAAAATCCAGGTGTCAAGACACTGTATGGATTTGTGACAATCCATATGGGAGTCTGTGTGTGTACACCAAGGAGTGGATTACACTCCTCTGTATATGAAGTTTTATTACATCTGTGACAGATGTAATATCAATAGTGTATAACAGAACACAACAGAATGGAAATTGCTTCCAAAATCTCATGTGCTACACACTCATGGAGTCCATGCTATGGAGCAGAACCTCACTAAGTAGCACTGATGCCTTGAAATTCCATTGCAAGTTACTGATCATTGCAAATTAGCAAGGCAAAGACACAATAAGAGGGAGAGGATGTTGCCACTCAAAACATACTTTGTTAATTTATTTTGACAAGTGTTGCTTGGTTTTAATCATTGATCATTCTTCCCAGTGTACTGTATAACAGTACGCGAGCTGTCCTATGCTTTGCAAAAGTACCAAAGTCTTAGAGATAAGAGGCCTCACTAGTCTTCTGCTATTAGTCCATGTTAATGAATGGGGAGAAGTCATTGCTTTGTGCATGTAAATTATGGAGTGCAAAGATTAGCAAAGTGTAAATTAGTGAGGTTTGGTCAAACTGAACTACTTCTACTTTGTGCCAGGAATAGATAACAAAATATACCCTCACTGTATTGTATTTTCTGACCACACGTTCGTCAGCCAAGATGTTTGGACCTTGATGGTACAACAAAGAGATTGCTTATTCCCTAGAGAACAGGCACTATGTTGGTTTGGTTTATAGCCACGAAGGAAATGACAAGGAAGCCGGAATGAAACACAGAACAGCTGCAAACAGGCTTAAAGTAGAGATCCCTATTTGTGAACAACATTACATATGGGCAAAACACTGATCAGGGGCCCTAAGTTTCCATGCTAGTGCACTGAAAAGTATAGCAATTTGTTATAGAGCCAGCTTTTAAAAGCTACACACACAAGCTAAACCCTCCTGCAGGATGGGCTACCATAGCAAATGACAAACCAAAACCATCCTGCACAGAAGTTCTTCAAAACATCTGCAAACTCCAAGGAAGGGGGTATGGCATGTAGAAATGTGGGAGGAGTCAGGGGACCTATACCTGTATGCTGCAGACAAAGAGCCGCCGTCTTCTTTTCCTCGATGGGGGAGAAGGACAAAGAAGGAGTTATGGCAATTCCATGCGTTTTGACAGCAACTTTCCACAGCATTCTTCTGTTGGGGGATGGAGCTACCTCCCTCGCCCATGTGGTACAATCTGGGGGGCTCTGTCCTCCACCCTGAAACTCATGGATTTTATTGGGGATGGATTTTTCAGGAAGTGGCTCCCATGTGAATGCTCCTGGCCTTTGCTCTGATGCTCAGTGCCTCCTTCATTCAGTGCATTCCCACAAACAGCACATTGCCTGCAGTGGCCATGTTTCCACAAACTGAGCCAGGGGATCGAGGGAGGAGGGGAAGCCTTAGGGAAAATAATAAACTATCCTCCTGCTTCAGGGTCCAAGGGATTCCAATCGTGAGCTCCTAGCATCAAATCCTGCACTCCTAATTCAGGCTAAAGGAGCTTTGCCTTGCTAAAGACTGCTGGATTTGGCTTCTGGCATCTACCCTGGACCCAGTTCTGCCCTCAGATACAAAGCAGAAAGATGTGGCTTTATAGCTAATGGCTACCATATGGGGAATACCAGCTGCTGCATCATAGTATCCCATATCACCATGCGACTGTCACTAACACTTCGGCATCAACTGCATGCAAGCCAAGCTCTGCATTGAAAGGGAGCATGTGTAGAGCCCAGGTCCCCTGCAGGACGAGGGCATATCCTGGTCACATATAAGTGTATATTACACCAGTGATAGTCCCTGCAAGTTAATGGTGCTCTGAGGGATGCACAAATCCTTGTAGGGGCCCTGTTCCCTGCACGGGGCAGGGTGGAATTTAATCTGTGCTCACTTTCATATGGAATTCCCTTGGTACATGTGCTAGGCACAGTGCACAGTCATAGAGGATAGCATTGCAGGTTTGCCTGGAACAGGCTGCTGGACAACCAGGAATATGCAGGCAGGCTGGTCTCTGTGATAGACCAGAGCTGATCCCACTTCTTTGGGAAGTGGAAGAGTCTCCACAGCCTTTCAGTGCAGCTGCCAGAGGAGAGAGCACTGCCCGCCACTGAGACGCAGGCCTGGCCCCAGCCACCCTACACACCCACACTGCACAGAGGGAGAAAGACCTGTCTGGGCCCTGTGTCCTGCCGCGGTGGGTGAGACTGAACTTGAGCCTTCCTTCTTCCCTCCCAATATGCAAAACAAGGCTGCACATGCCAATGCTGAAGCCGAGGTGAAATCCACCGAGGAGGAGGGAAGCCACTGTGAGATGCTAGCAACGCATTTTGGAAGCTCCACGAGGAGCAGGAAAAGGAGTGTCTCTTCTCCCTGCCTGAGCTTTGTGAGTATGTGCGGTGGAGTGGGGGGAACGGGACCAGTTGGGTGTGGACAGCATGAGAACCTGGACTGTCAGAGCAGATTGTGGAGATCATAGAAATAAACTGAGGGAGAGCAAGAGGCCGGGAAAAGAAAGGAAGGAAGGAGACAATTTAAGAGAAGCTGAGGGAGCAGAAAGGATGGAGAGGGAGATTAAAGAACAGGGGGAAAGATGTGAGGAAATAACTGGGGAAATGGAAGGGGAGAACAGATAAGGAAAAAATTCTGAACAGTCCAGAAATGTTAAACTGAATTTTAGTTTCTTGTTGTTTTGTTTGTTATAGCCCCAGTTTCTGTATTGGAAACTCATAACTTTGGTTATGAAGTTATCAGGACAAAGCTGGATGTTGAACAGGTAGGCAGGGGCAATTTGGGACTTTTGACAATTTGAGATGATGGGATAAACATATTAGCTGGATGTTTCTGCTAAAATAATCAGCAGTGAGATAGTTAATGTTGACATTTAGATTGCCATCATTAAGTTTCAGGATTAACTCACTGAGATAAACAGGGCAGCTCAGCTAGTGTTCCAGGCTGTCTGCAGGCTCACTGCATCAGTTTTCATTTGGTTAATCTTAAGGTTTTCTTTGCAACCATAAGAACTAGAAACTTAATTGTTAAAATTGAGTGTTTCGATTCTTGAGCATAGTTCTGTAGAACTGCAGGACACAAGCAGCTCTATAGAAAAAAGGGCCTCAAACTTGCAATATTCAAAACTATGGGTCATTGTAAAGATATTGCCTGGATGGCAGTTTGGCCTTGCAGATAAGGCTCGACTGTTGTGGGATTTGGCCTTCCTGTATCTGTGGCGCCTAGGACAGGGCATGTGTTCTGCTGGCCAGCTCCCCTCATCCTTGCTCACAGCTGCCAGGTCGATGTTGCCTTGGAGAACACAACCGAGGTGACACTGAAATCCTGCCTCTTTTCTGGTAAGTGTCACCTTCCATATGGCTTTATGTGGGAGGGGAGCATATGATCCTGTAGATACAATTTAAAAGGAAACATTCTCCTCCTAACTGATTAAAAGGAAAGCGAGAAAGCAAGCATGCAAGCGTAATTTAAACTCCAGCACAGGCTAACAGCCATATTCCGCTCTTCCTTCTGTGTACAGATCAATGGAAGCATATGGCCCTGAAGCATTAGTTTGTAACACTCCAAGCTCTGGGGAATGCTTGTTTATTTCCAGTGTTGAGCGTAAGTTTATTGATCTTAACCACACTGAAATTAAGTAATACAAGGGGATAAAGTTATAATGATTCATATAATTGTGCAGTAAACATGTGCAAAGAGGGAGTCCTGAGTGAAATAAGACATGCTGCCCATCTGGCAGACTTCCCACAAATGCTTAGCACAGCCGATGGGGGTAGAGGGGCACAGAGGTTGGCATGTATCTTGGTCAGGAGACACTTAAGGGGATACAGAAGGGTTTTAACAATGGGGCGCTCTGGGAGCCATGAGGAGAGGGAGGTTGGAAGGGCTAGAAGGGAGCAAGCAAAATGGTCCCGTGAGGTTCGTCTTTCAAGGTGTGTGTGGAGGTGACAATGGGCCACTGGGTCTGGGTGTTGAAAATGCAGAACCCCATGTGACAGCACTGTTCAGAGATGCTTAGGGTTGACCCTGGGTTTAAGAACATATGAACCACTCCACTAACACTTTGGCTAAACATGTATTGTGTAGCTCACTTTACCTCATTTGGGGCCCCAATCCTGCAAAGATTTACACACACTCTTCACTGCAAATAGGCCCATTCCAGTGCCTGAGGTTACTCACGCGAATAGCACCTAGCTCTTATATCACACTTTTCACCAGCAGATCTCAAAGGAGATGATAGTGCATAACGTTCAGCATGTGTTACATCTTTGCAGGATCAGGGCCTTAATAGCAAACAATATAGTGGCAAACATCATCAATGGATTTTGATGGCTAAAATTACAAACACGAGTTGGTTGAGGGATAGTAAGTTATACCAATCAGATAGATAGCTAAAAACTTCAAAGGTTTAGCAATGCATACACTGATGTGTATTTGTGTAAGCTGTATGAGGAAAAATACTAACACTAAAGTAAACAAAAGTCACTTCATTCATTTAGATGTCAGCCTTAAAATAAAAATAGTGTCTATGCAAAATATGATGAATTCTCCTTTTTTTAATCACTTTTTTTTAAAAATTGTTAGCTTATAAAGCACATATTTAAAATTCTCACCCTTTGTTCATCCCAAAATGATATTTCATTAGCATTAAAAATATCTGCGTAATACTAATTTGATTTTGTTTGTTTTTACATTTATTGTATTGAAAGAAATATGGTTTTAATTGGCTTACTGGGTTGTTTGCATTTCAGCTGGCATTATTAAAACCTACGGAAAGTATCTCACTATATAGCTCTGAAGAAAATTGAAACGGATTTAAATTGCAGATACCAGCACAGACATATAGACCTCCTGTATCAAATGAATTCTTCACATAAGAAGAGGTTGGCAAGAAAATCCAAGTCATTGCAGTGTCATTTGTATTTCCTTACATTGCTTTATTCTGCAGGGAGGAAAAAGAAGGGCCACTTTTAAAATTAACTACAAAACAGCCATACTATAAAAGGCTCCTCCCAATGTAAGTATGTTATTTCGCCTGGAAAAGTCCTTTTTTGTAGCAAAGCATTTTGAGGTGAGGGGCTGATTCTTCTTTGGGAGAGAAAAGGCATTCTTGTGAGTTGGGTGTTTTCCATTGTTAGTGTGTTGTAGTTTACATGATTTGCTGCCCTTTCGTTTGGACTTCAGTGTGAGCACTTAAAAAAAAAAGATATTTGGAACTTTGGCCTGGTGTGTGACTTATTTGAATGTGGGGAGGCGGGTGGATCCTCCTCTTTCCTTTTTGTGCAATATTACTTTGTCTTAATCTCCAGCATTTCCTAAGAGTTAGCAGTCTTTAAAGAAAGAAAAAAGCCTCCTATTAGATAATTAAGAAGAGGATAAAAATATAACATGGTTAGTAAATGTAAATATAGTAGCAATCTCTGATATTTCAGTATTTATTGAGTGTTGTCAATATCTTTTTATGAATGTTTTATGAATTGTGAAACAAAAGGACAAAATAACTTAATATAAAATATTTATGTAACTATTAGAATATTTAACATATTACTAGAAAATTATTAGTTATCATTTAACACCTCAAATTGATTTCGGGGAATGAAAATCTAAAATAATATTGTTTCTGCACATATTCTAGCCAACAAATTTCTTTATTTACCACCGAATTTCAGTGTCTACTAGTTGTCAGATAACATTTGCATGTTATGGAGTTTAACAGTTTTTGCTATGGCTAGCATTTCACAGGATTAAAAAAAAAAAAAATCACCTGCAAAGAATTAGGTAACAGAGTGTGAAAGGTCTCGGCCATTCAGGAAATACTTCCTACTGGATTTAATTAGAGATTAAAAATAAAAGGTTTTAGTTGCAAACTTCAAACACACAACAACATGATATTTATTGAATGCACTAGCATTGCAGCCACAGTGAAAAGAATAAAAAACAGTAGAACTCAGTTGCTTTCAATAAACTTTTCAAATATAGTTTTTATTCAAAATTAATTATAATTTTATAGAGAAAAATCCATTTTATATCTGGGTTTATTATGAAAGGCAAGTTACTGAAAGAAGAGCCTTTAAAATATGTACAAAACATTAAAGGCCCCAGTTCTGACCCAAATGCCACTCACTTTAATATTACACGCATCCACATAAGCCACATTTTTAGGGTTCTCTCTGCATTTTATAGTGTATAAACTGAGCATGTTTTTTTTCTGACTCATGCCTTAAGAACTTATACAGATATTGGATTAGCTAAGTTTCTATCGCACTCAAATCGGGTGTTTTCCTTCTGTATCTCATTTAAGATGAGCAGTGCTGATAACACAGTATTAAATGTCAAATGAGCAAAAACAGTGTGCAACGTGAAAGAGTCTCTGCATTTAATTTAGATGGTTCCAGAGCAAGAAACGGGATGGAATGTCATTCTATTTCCTTATGAGTCCATTTTGACAAAATATCTTTAAAGCCATTAGGTATTGGTCCTACACTTAGGTCTTGCGTCCTAATCACCTGGCAATTACCCATTTTTATCACTTATTCTGTATCAACATTAGGTTAATCAGTGTTAAGTAATATAGTAAAACTATATCTATGCACATTTAATTCTCTAATTATGCAGAGCAGCATTAAACCTGTTCCACTGTCGTGTGTTTAATTTGTCTGCTTCAAAATAACCTATTAGTTGGGTTTTTTTTTTTTAATTCCTGTCTTAAATTTGAGGCCCTTTACTTCTGCAAATGGATGCTGGTGATATATAAAAGGTCTCCTCTATGAGTAGGTAATGAGGCATCCAAAACGCTACAGTTAATTAAATGTACTGATTTTATCACATCATAATCCTGATCTTCAGGTGCTGTATATAATCAGACTATTACAAATCAACTGTTATACATGAAAAGTTACATTGAAACGGGACCAGGCATCTGATTGAAACAGGCAAAGGGAAAGAAATCCATCTTTATTTGGAGTTATGGTGTGTGCTATAGGACTACACCTTGTGTGATTTGCAAGATCAGTCACTTCTTTGAGTTTCCGCCTTAACTTCAGAAGTCTTGGGTTTTGTGGGTTGAAGAAGAAAAATAGAATTGTTTTGGAGATTCAGTTTCCTTATTTTATGCTAGCATTAAAGAGAGACAAAATCCGTGTTATGGAGGCATGAAAATATAACCTGTATCGACACTGAAAAGATACTTCCCAGGTTTTAAAGTGTTCACTTACTATTCACAGATTCTTATTAGACTATCACAGGCATAGAGCAACTTGAGGCTTTATTTTTTAAACAAGAGTTTGAAATTGTTTGCTTTTAGCTTGTTGGGTTTTTTTTAAATGGCCAGGAGTGGACCCACATACTCATTTATACAGTATATAATATCGAAATCAGCAAGAACTTCACTCACTAACATCCACCTACAGCCAAGTTGGATAAAGAGAAACTGCAATTACAGTGAAATAGAATGAGCAATGGGTTTTTTTTTCTCCACCACAGTGCAACAAGCAAATGGAAATTCTGGTTATAGTGGCTCGATATTTATGAAGTGTAGAGTCCAGAGTGGGGTTATTACATGATACGGAGACCTTACTTAAAAGCTTATACAGGACACGGGTGTGGGTTAAGGAAGCAAGCGAAGTCACTGAGCATGTGCCCCAGCCAATTTTCCAACATTAATAAGTTGGCTGTGTAGAAAAAATACAAAGCAAGGAAAAATAATTGACTTTAAATTTTGCCTTGAATAACACCTATGAAGCCCTAATTAATTTCAATATGGATTTCACAAATGCAACAGAGAGCATAATTTGTCCTCTTGAGTCATGAATTAGCTAAGTCTTGTTTTGTAGTAAAGTGACGCATGATACATTTACAACACTGAGGAATTTTCTTTCTTTTATTTCCCTGCTCTTGTGTTGCATATAAAAATAGCCAAACATACTTTTATCCCAAGGCAAAATGTGGCTAATTACAGAATTATAGTTTAATGTGAGAAACTAGCCTTCCATAGACTCTGATTGAGGAGTTTTATGTTCTAGGAACCAGAGTTGGGTGGGTTTCCAGACCTCTCTATTTTTAAATGCCCAGCAATTAATTCGATGAACATTGTTACCCTTTTGTAAACAAACAAAAATCTACAGGACTGTAGAGCGTAGTATGAGATTAACTGTGCAGTGCAGAAGAGTGAGCATGTCACAGGGTTTTTTAAAAGAAATTATATTGATAGGACAGGTTAAGTGTAACACTTTTCGGTTATTGTTTGTCATAGCACATTCAGCGGGGACTGCACTTTGTGGAAATGTGAAGAGTACAGGGGGCATTGAACACGGAATAAATTAATTCTGAACAAAAACTGCACCAACTATATATTTTTCTCAGAACAGAATATTTGCAGTTTTTTCAACTAAATTATTCAAAATATTTTTCATGTAACTCAACACTCATTCATTTATATTCATGCGTGTGCATGTGCATTCTTTGACGTGTTATCTAACAAAATAGCATTAGTTTACATTTCTTGCAAAATAACTGACATGATCCAAATGCCATTCCTTAACTCACAATTAGATTTGAGTGTTCTCCAGTTTTCATAGGCATTAACAATAAATGGTGTGGATTCAATAATGCCACTATATCTTTATTTCAAGTAAATCAGAAGATATCCACATGATATTTACCCTTTTAAATATCAAATTGGCTACATTTAAAAATAAAACCACAAGTATTGTATTTATATGAACAATTGCATTTTGATCACTGGAATTTAATATTGTTGAAATCCATAAATGTAAAATAAATATAAACAATTAAAAAAAATCTAGTTCTCCAGGTTACACAACTAATCAGCTACATGCATCATAATTATTATTGTAACAACAGCTAGTCAGATGCCTGACATTACATGGTATATGGTCCAATAAATAAGGATTTCATAACAAAACTAAAAATAAAGCTTGGGTCCAGATACAAATTGAACTATAAAGTATTATGTTAAATGCTTGAGAAATCTTCATGTTCATCTTTTAAATTCTAATTTACAATCCAATAAAATAGGTGTCAGAAAATAAGGGAAACAAACTTGTTCAAATTTGATGTTAAAAATAATTGAATTTGACAATTTTATGAAAGGATGTTTGAACTAACATAGCTACAAAAAATACAAATAAAAAAAGCAATGATTGGTATAGGCAAAATAGCTCTAACAGTCTGATTCATGCTTAACAGGTAGACACATTTGGCTTTTTTTCAAATTTAATATTTATATGTTATGCATAATAAAATCTTGTATAATTTAAGGAAGCAAAAAAACCAACAACCAAGAAACACAATTAATCTGCACACTACCTATGTCATATTAATTCACACAAAGATGACTTTTAAACAAATCTGTCTATAGTCTGATGATTGCAAATGTATGTAACGTAGAATGTGTCCTTTGCTTCTTAATTCTTACCTTACCACAACATAAAGAATGAATACTTTTCATGTCATATTATTCAAAGTGTACAATTTCTTCTAAAGTCTGTGCCTTGCTCTGATTGCTGGTGTTGTCTGCATAATCTATAAATTAGCCTCTATTTGCAATAAATGCTGCCTTTTTGAATGTAGACTTTGTGCTAACTATGCCATAGGAAATGTACCATACTGATTGATTCAGCTTCAAAACACACCCCAGTAAAGAAAGATCCTGTTACACTGAGTAAGTGGTTAATCTAGCAAAAAGGAAACTTACATTTAGAAGTGTTGGCAGGGTCAAATCTTGAATGATAAAGAAAAGAGAGTTCATGCTGATAAGATTTTAAAATGTATTAAACAAACTCTTATGAAAATGATTTTGAGAAAATTCAACATTTTATTAAAAATGAAAAAATCAAACCCAAATTTCTGCATTTAAAAACTAGCAGAATACTAAAAAAAAAACCCACCCAAATACATACATTGATTCTTTAAATCAAAGTGTTTTGAAAACACTGGAAATTCACCCCACTTTTGAGGAGAATAGCTCTTTTTCATTCACTAAATACACAAGGGAAAAAACCAAAACCAAAACACAGTATCAGCTATGTTTAATTTTATATTTGTTAACTACCAAAAGCACCATAACTTTTTTTAATACCCTGGTGCCCCCTTTTGGTCTGCATAGATCAAGGCATCTTTCCATTTTAAAAAATTATTAATAAAAATACATTAGTGCTTAACTTGTGAAGTCTTAATTTAGACTGTTGCTAGCTATTCCACCTGTTGTTATATCTCACAGTTACCAGCTACTGATCTATCCCATGTGAAAACAAGCAAAACTAGCAGCCTGAAGGTCAAAGGAAGCAGTGTTTTCCATTATAAATTGCCATAGTACAGAGTTTTGCTTTATACAGTTATCTTGATAGCTTTGATGGTAAATAAAATGACCCATTCATTACCTTTGCTACAGTACACTCAATGGGATAAAGCAGAGGCTTGTATTCAGATGATAGCTTTCCCTTGCTATATTTATGCATGGAACACTGAGAGAAAAAAAAGGCTCTTAAGTTGGTAGGAATGTTTGATTAGGTCCACAGTCTCTTGGCAGACAGCACGCCAATGTCACTGAGACATGCAAACTGAACATCTTGCTAAATGCGCATTTTACAAAGTTTGATTTATATAGTTAGACAAATTTTAAAAAAATCTTTTCCTTATGACTTGCATATCTTACAGCGAGTAATTATGCCATAGAAACAAGATCTTTCCACGTTCAACATCACTGTGTGAAGACGAGCTTATTTCCAGCAGGGATATTGAGTCCTGCCATCTGAAGGGCCAATCAAGTGTGAAGTACAGTATAGTTTTAGACTCAATTGAAAGGAAAAAGCTTGACTACTAGTTCATAGCATGACAACTTTCATGGATTAGCTCAGACCCTATTCTACTCCTTGAAAGGGTATCACAGCATGAAGACAGTTTTCAATGCACTAAACTTTAATAGCTGAGTGGGGGAGCCAAAGCTTCCTTTTGGTCTCTATAGAAACAGTATCACCAAAATTTGAGGCAAAATTAAGATTCTTGGGTTTCAGTCCTGTATTTACCCTCCAACGTCCCTATTCACAAAGTCTTCATCCTTTTTAGAAATTGCCATTTTTTCCACTGTAAACTGAAGCGGGTTGAGCCTGATCAGTTAATTTTTAAACACCACAACACTGTATCCTATTTTCCTGAGACCTTTCTAAACAAGTGCAGGGTGAGCACAGTCCAGAAAGTAGGTGGAATCATCCTACAAGAAGATATTGGCAGTGTTTGTGGACATTTTGCTCCTATCCCAAGGGCTAGCCCAATAGGCATCCCCCTGGAAAGTGTTAGCCAGTATTATAGTCACTCTATCTCTGTCCCAAAAAGGGACTTGCAGAGTTTCTTTAACCACTGGAGAAAGCCAGCTGTAGCATTCGCAGTACTTTCCGAGTTACCTTGTTCCTCTCCGCACATTTCAGGGAGAAGCTTGTTAGGAGAAAGGAGTGCTTAGACAACAGTCAATGGATTTAACGGCTAGAAACACAAGATCATATCCTACCCCTCATTCCTCAAGGGTCAGTGGGAGTTTTACCAGATTAAAAAATGCACCATAAGGCCCAATGACTGATCATTTTACCGTGCAGTTTTGCTTTTAAATAGAATAATTCTCTTTCTTATTAAACTAACTGCAGAAAATTCAGGTAAACCCATTCCATAAACCCTCCCCACCACACATTCACTACAGAGAAACGCTAACCATTTCAGATTTAATTTCTTCAACACTGAGTTTACTGTGAGCTTATGTGATTTGCTTATACACAGTAGGGCCAGAACAGACTACTACATAATACTTCATGTTAAAATTACACATGAGCATGATAAAGAAAACACTGGGATTTTTTGGTATCATTACATGCATTTTTTGTTTAGGTTTTTTAAAATGTATTATTCTTAGCGTGTGTGTGTGTGTGTGTGTGTGTGTGTGTGTGTGTGTGACACTACATGTCAATAGACTATCCTTATATAGATACAGTTTACAGAAACCAAAATACTTGTAATTAAAATGCACTGTAAAGGTGGAGGAAAAATGTTCATGCAAATGGCAAAATAGGTGAGAGAATTTACACTATTTCATCTCATTCATACCACCCCTGCTCCTGTCTGCTTGGGATCACTGCAAAAGCTAATCAGCTTGATAGATCCAGCAGGAAATCCAGTGCATTTATTGATTTTATGATGAATAAGCTGAAATTGAATATTACTTTCATATACCCACAACACATTTCCATGAGCTCTATTCAGTGGAAGTTTTACACCTGCTCTGGGGTACAGCTATGGTGATCTGGCTTCCTCTGCAAACTTGGCCTGGCCACAGATGCTTCCCCCCCTCCCCTTTGCAGAGATCTGTGGGTGCCTCCTATGGAGAGCTGCTCAGGGTCTAGATTTCACTATAATAGTCCTCTCCTCCCTTTGTAGAGCACTAATCCTGATTCACCAGAGCCAGAATCTCTCCTTACATGGCCATAGAAGGGGCTTTTTTTTTGGTTTTGAAGTTAATCCAGCTCCGAGCAGGGGTCTTGATGCAATGTCCCCTTAATCATAGGCATGCGGCACTGCACTGGCTGAGATTTTCAGTGGGAATCTGACAAACCAAATACTGAAATTTGACGCCCACTCCTGTTAAGTGCTGCTCCCTCTCCGCTCCTGCACTCCTCACCACAGAGGATCCGGGTCCCTAATGTCCGTTTTAGCTTTCTGACTTGGTTTGCACTATGCATGTACATTGAGTGGCACCATGCCCGCTTACGCCAGTTGCCAGAGCCTAAAGCTGACAAGGGTCAAGCTTGCGAAAAAACACAGTGCGGCACATCAGCTCCAGGAAGATTCTCCAGGCTGCGAGGAACACCTGCTTCATTACTGAAGGATTGCATTTGTTGGATTTATAAGAATTATATAGGCAATGAGTGCTGCTCCCCTTTATTTAAGCTGTGTCATAGTCCTATTCTGCACCCCATACTCCAGCAAAACTCCCACTGATATCAAAGGGAGTTCACCTCCATGTAAAACAGTGACAGAACCAACCTTGCAAAGGGTGACCAGATAGCAAGTGTGAAAAATCAGGACAAGGGGTGAGGGGTACTAGGCACCTATATAAGACAAAGCCCCGAATATCACCTCGTCACCTATTTGCAACATTCTGACTCATATAATGAGGCAAGCAATTTCATTGGCTCCAGTGGGGCTGCATGTATGACCAAAATACCACTTTATGATTTAGTGTCAAGTTCTGCAGGGCTGGGCTCTAAGTAAGGAGTGCTGGGAAATCTGCTCAGGGGGAAGGAAAGATACATGGCACCATGTTCACCCAGGACTGGCACAAGCCACTCTAAAGTCTATTTCTTTTTCTGCACACTAGAGAGAGCCAGAATGCTGAAACTGGCATGGACCAGTCAGGTGACTTCCTTACCTGTCTTGTAAGGAAAATGCAGGAGAGGTGTGACACACAGCAAACAATGAGTTTGTTTGGCTTTTCCACACAGAACACCACACATCCTCGCTGAGGAGAATCTATCCAGATGGTTTCAGAAGAGAAGTTCGAGATTAGGGAGCTCTTCATACAAAGGTGGCCCCTATACTTAGGTCAAATGTTTACAAAATTGGCCAGTTTTCAAGAGATTAAAAAAAAGTTACCCTATGTGAGGGCGCAGAACATCTGCTTGCAACACCATGGTGATGAGTGGGGTGTCAAAACCCAACGAGGAAAGAATAACAGCATCACCAGCATACACTAATTTTCCTGACTTGAGGGTGGTGCCTTTACACACCATCATCTCCTCAGATGCTGGCAGGACAAGAACACTGTTACAGCACTGTGTAACCTCTTGAGAGCTTAGCTGCTAACCTGGAGATGAGAGAAAAGGCACTTTTGGCCCCAGTCTTTTGGACTTCGGCTCCATGCGACGGGAGCTCTTCAGAGTTACAGATGTTTCTGAGAGAAATAATTGCCCAACGATACATAGCCTTGGCAAGGCTAAGAGTAACCTCAACACTTGCTCTTCCTAAATGCTCATACCAAAATGTCTCTAGTCAAAGCTAGTTATGATTAATCATGATACAGAGCTAGACGGAGGATGGGATCTGTCAAACAGCACATTTACCTTTAAGGACTTCTGTCTGCAGGGACCTCGTTAGTGTGAGTTCTTACCTGAGTACATACGCATAGCACTCTCCATGCATGCTCAGTTCAGACACTAAAGCTATTATCCATGCAGATGGGCATTGTGGGAGCTGGAGGCATGGGCCCTCATGTCCCACAACAGGCCAAGAGCAGTCACCATAGTAAGGAATGAAATTATAACCAGAGAAGGGAAACTTTTTCCCTCCTGAAAAAGGAGATTAAAATCCCTACAGTGCCAGCATCAGCAAAACTGGATTTCTGATGAGTACGATTGTAAGCAGAAATTAAAAAGACATGCTTATAGTTAAACATTATTTCCTCTGCTAGTAAAACACTGTATACTTTGTCTTCCACTAGATACAACCCCTCTGGAGCTCCTACTTTATTAGAGCCCACTAATAACTCAGACTAATTACCTTTCTCTTTGTTTCAGAGTAGCAGCCGTGT